GCCACTGGCCGAGCGGCACCTCCAACCGCCCGAGCACGCCGCCGCTCGGCCCCTTCCCCTTCTCACCAGACGGTCGCCCCGCCACCGCCCCTTCTCCCCCTTCTCGCCAGCGGCTGAGCGGCACCTCCGCTGTAGGGGGCCCGAGCCGGCCGGCCGATCCGCAGCAACGCGCCCCAGACGCCTCGTCCTGGGAGATCCCCTCGACGCGTTGAAGCGGATGGGACAGATCCAGTGGAAGCTGCCGGTGGTCGCCTCTTTGGAGGCGTCGAGGACTACCGCATCCTCGATTGTCTATTCTTTTGGTACGTACGCCCAGCACCCACCTATCCTCCGTTGAGCAGTCCCAGGCAGGTTTTGGGGCTCATAGGGTTACGAATTGAGGGTTTCCTTTACTGACATGCTGCTGCTGTGGTCACGAGACTTCTGGGCCACAGATCTCTGTTCACGCAGCAGAACTGGTAGGGGGACATCCTCAACTGCGACGAGGAGAACAGCAAGATCGAACGCAAGGTTCTTGATCCACACTTTTCGCCACAACCTGGAGTGGAGGTTGGTTGAAAACATGACTGTTTGTGGTATACTTTTGCTATGTTGAACATTTTCCAGCACTGTAAGCAGAAATGATTATTTGATGAAAAATGTACTTCATTGTACAGAAAGTATTATATGATGGTTTAACCTCAGTATTAGGGCATCTGAATCATATAAATTACCTGAAAAATTGCTCCCTGGTAGTGTTGATGAGCAGTCAGCAAAGGATGTACATATTGTAGGTTCCATTGCAGAGAAACAGGCACAAATTTTTACAGAGGAGTGCAAGCCTTTTCCTGAAGATGTCCAAATACAATCAATTTACCCCTGTGCAAGTGCATCCAATTTGATGCTTTTGTCTTACAAGGTGCAGATTTCTAGCAACCATATAATTACGAAATGGTATGATCTAATGTTGCCGTCTTGTGACCCCCAGTTGACAAGCAGTTTGAAGAAAAGACACTCCGTTTGATTATCATTTTGTAGGTCTGATATAGCAGAACTAGAGTTGAAGCTCTCTTGAGTATATATAAAAAATATGTCAAACCTGCAATAGATGGTTCAGGAGCTAGCCTTAAAGGTATAAATTACCACTTGATCCTATTTCCATATTTGTACAGTTGTGATTTGGTCATATATTTAAAATCTTATACACTTCTATCTGAAATTCCCACGCATATTGTGTTAGTTAGTTTGTTGACAGTGCACTGCAGTGTACATTTGCAATAGCAGGGTAGTCTCTGCTGCCCAGTATGACTATATTCCGAACAAAGATGATATGCCGAGACGGAGCTAAAGTTGAGGAAACATTTGCAATGGTTTCTCAGAATAGTAAAACCCTTCAATTTGACATACACTAAGGTGAATATCTTATGCATCATTACATGATTTTCTCCATGTATCTCCTTTTTGTATTCCAGACAAGCAACCTTGACATGAATATCATTTGTACTTCTGATTATCATGTTCCATGTGTTTTTGAGTTGTGAGAAGATAGAAGTTATTTGTCATTGTAGGAAATCCATGCTTGGACCCACATGATGGAGGTTTCATGGTTGCATGGGTTTGGTGCAGCTGCTAACTGATTGTTAGAGGCTTATAAAACACTTTTAAAGATACTATCTGATTATTCGATCCGTTTATTCGTCACTTTGTTGCTCATTTGAATTTCTTGTGTATCTCTGACCTACATGTCATGATCTGGTTATTTGAACTTCTGATGAGATGAAAATAATAAAAGTTCATTTGTCACTTGTTAGTAGACACTCATTATATCATAGTATTGTCATAGTTCTGTGGCATTTCTTGAAAGTTCCAGTGAACTTGTTATTATAGGAAATTTCTTGTCCTGCAAAATGAACTTAATGCACAAGGCATGTGTTTGTTGTTTCCTGTCAATAACTCAAAGTGTCTCCGTACTAAACCTTATTGGTGTTATTTTCTGAAATACTAATGGCCAACAATAATATCTTCTGAACTCTAGCCAATTAAACACCCTGATGCAAATTTAAAATCAACTAAATGATGCCTATAATAATTATGGTAGGATGGCGCATAGAATTTAACCTCCCAAGTAGACTATCTCCAGCAGAGGAAAAACTTCAGCCGAATCGACACGAAGCTCCGCACCCAGGTGGTCGCTCCGGCGGCAGCAACACAGTCGTCGTCATCGGTGTTGATGAGGAGCGTAGGCACAAAGATGACGCCAAGATTGACAGCTAGGAGCAGTCGAGGAGCGGCACTCTAGCCGGTGCCGCCACGCCATCCCTCAGCCAGTTGTGCTCTAAATTTTGAACTCTTAACGAAACTGTGAAACAAATGTCAGCTGATTCTAATTGTACAAATTTTATTTCAGGTGCATGCCAATCAAATGAAGGCGGAGGCGTAGAACAACATGACCAAGAAGTAGGCGAGATCGAGGCGAGAAAGGACGGCCGGGTAGCCCGATCGGCGCGATAGGTGGAGCGCATCCGGAAGATCGACCGCATGTCGTCCCGGTTCCAGTGTTGCGACTGATTCCTGAGCTGAAAAATAAACAAAATTCAGATTGCATCAGATATGCAACCTGACTGAAGAAGCCACAAGGTCACAGTGCACGCTTCTGGGACAAAATGTATATGAAATTATTTGAATCAATGTACTGTAGGTGTTGCTTTGCTCTGTAGTCTGTACAATCTGAATGGTTTTGACTTGAGCTACAATAGCATGTTACAATTTGAATCAATGGCCTACTGACTAATGTACTCAGAACTTGGAATCATCTTTTCTTTAAGCTTAATGGTAACTTTGGAAAAAAGAAAAAAACATGAGCTAATACTATGATATTTTACCTTCACATTTATTGGCACTTATTTTTTGGTGTTATTATTTTATCTCACTACTTTCTGGTTGCTTCCTGGCTTTTCTTGAAGAACAAATATTAAATTGTGAATTCCTTTGAGACCTTGTCATCTTATTATTTTACTTGTATTTGTTAGCCTCTTTTGTTACACTACTCTGTTGCCTCTGATCTGATGCAGTGGTGGTGACATTCTGATTGGATGATTCTGATATGTTAGCCCCTTTAGTTACACTACTCTATTTGTTAGCCCCAAGTTGATGCTACTTTTTTCAACTGATCTCAATTCAGATATGTTGTTCGAAAGACTCTTTCCGAACATGAGGTGAACCATTTGCTACTTACCTCTTAATATAATCCTACCAATGTGATGCCTTGTATTTCTGACAATTATATTGCCATTCCAGGTTATATCTGATGGAGATTACACTCTTGGCCCATGAAAAAAGGAAATTCCAAATATTTTATGCTAGGAAAAGCTTCCAAAATCAGTAAAGTTCTACAATCTACAACACTGATTAAAAGGCTGCTCAAATTGTTTGGCACTTCTTGTTTTAAATTTAGTTTTTTTACTGTTGTTCCTGCGTTGATTGGAATATCCATTGGCTCCACTAAAGCTTCATGATGCGTGATCATAAATTGCTCAAGAGATCATACAAGACCTGTGGTGGTCTGCCTATACTAGCATGTTAGTAGTGCTTAGCAAAACATGTTCATAATTCACTCTTGACTATCCTTTGAAGTATGCTACAATTCTACATTAGATTATCATGACAAATAATTGCATGATTGGCGGTCTTGACTTAGTATAAGTAGTACATCTTTAGGCAGGGATCTGATTTGGAAGGCGGTTGTGGAAGAAATAGAATGTTAATTGCACAATTTTCTTATTTTTTTGCTACAATTATGTAATTATTATGTATTTTTGGGTTTCATTTCATAGGTTGGTCTTCAAAGTTTCTGAACACAATTATCTCTACAGTGTAAGACCATCTTCTCTCCTAAATTTTGTGAACTACTGTTGGTTTTTTCGTGGTGATACAACTTCAGACTTGTCATGAAAATTATACGACTTGGATCAAGTGATACTTTTCATGTGTAATGATACTACCGCAGAAGTAAAATGATTAATAGTACTTATATGTGGGCATGTCCTTGTATAGAAGGATGATGATGGTTTAAATAAATTGGTTTTACTAGACGTACTTTCCGAATTATGAATTATGCACTTCTCATGAATTTGTTGTAGTCAAAGGAAGGAGGTGAAGATACAGGAGTGGGAGAACTGCCAGAAATCCAAATTCAAAGCCAAGTTGAGGCATGCAGAGGTCAGCATCCATCTGAATTCCTGAACTTGTTGCACTGTCCAGACAAAACCATGAAACAAATCCCAGTTGTTTGTATTTGTGCAAATTCTATTTCAGGTGCAGGTGAAGGCGCGGATGAAGAACATCCTGACCAAGAGGATGTCCACATTGAGCCACAAGGTGGAGGGGAAGCATGCAAGGGTCGAGGTGAAGCGGAACCGGCGTGCAGTCCGGTTGGCGCGACAGGTGAAGTGCATCCGGAAGACCGGCTGTGTGTCCCATGTATCCCCAGTGCAACCAAAATATCTTTTTATACATATTCTCACATATATTTGTATATTAGTCGAGACGTGCATTTGCACGTGCACGCTTACTAGTTATATGAAATATGAGTTGGAAGTTACAAAGAATCAAATTAAAGCCATTTGGAAGTATTTTGAAACTCCCTTTAATTTGGAATTATTTGGATTTTAATCAAACGTTTTTCTCCGAAAAATAAATAAATGGAAATAAGGGTAAAATGATTCCGTTCAATGAAAAATTAGGAGAAAATAAATTTGAAATCTTTTTGGTATTTTAAAAATGATTTTTGTTGGGTTTTAATGCAACAGTAGCACTGTTTGCTTTATTTGAATTTTTGTGTATTTTATTTGACTCTGATAAAATGTTCATAATTTAGCATTTCTTTTTATGAACAGTTTGATATATTATATGCCTATATAATAATTGTATTTTGTTTGGTTTATGATTTGTTTCCTACTTTGTATTATAAAAAACGAAAAAACGGTTGAAGCCGACGGACCGAGGCCCACCTTCCCTTCTCTCTCTCCCTCCCTTGGCCCACTTACCTCGCCCGCACCTGAACCGCCTCTGCATCGGTTGCCCACCCCATCGCTCGTTTTCCCATTGCCGCTGATGCACGGGGCCCACTATCCGACCCGACCCTCTCCTCCTCTTCTTCCTTCCCAAGCCAAGTCGCGCCACCGCCGCCGGAATCCCGATCTTCTTGGGATCGCGAATCCCCCTCACCCCTTCTCCAAGCACCCTCCCCCTATATATACACTTCCCCCTCGACCCGTCCCCCTCCTTTCCCCACACCGAGAACACCCGCCGCCTCCTCGATTGCTTGCCGGAGCCGAGCACCGCTGTCGCTCCATCCCGACCACCTCACCACCGTCTGACACCACGATTCGCTCCGCCGTGCTCACTCGCACCTCCCCAACCCCTCGCCTGAGCTCCACCGCCATCGGAACGCGCTCATCCGACGACCATCGATCTCACCGGAGTCGCCCATCGCTCCAGCCACCTGCTGCCATCTCTACAGGAGATTTCCAACTCCGCCATCGCCACCATCGCCATCGCCTCACAGCGCTGGACCCTATGGTACTCTTCCCCATCGCCGAGGATCACCGCAGGCCTCGCCGGTGTCATCCCCAAGCCGCCACCGTCGCTGACATCGCCGGACTTCACCGCCGCCCACTGTAAGCCAGCCACCCCCTCCTTGTCCGTTAGATCTCTTTGCAACGGTTAGGATTAGATCTCGTAGGGTTAAGTTATTTTTTCACTTAGATCGGTTTTTAGTCTGGTTTATCCGGTTTAGGTCGAACCGGCTCGCCCCGGTTTTCCTCTATTAGCCGCCGCACACCGTTTTCAATTAAGTGGCGATCGTTCGCTTGTTTAGCTTCCGCAGCGAATGCCCGTGGCCAATCAGAAGCCGCTACGCAGCAACGTTTGATCTGTAGTGTTTCCTTTTTTCTGTTTTGTTGTTTTCTATTTTAATTTACAGAAATAGTTTCTGAGAAACATCATAACTTTTATGTTTTATATCCAAATTGAGTGATTCTTTTTGCATTGTGTCACAAATTTGTTGAAGTTTCT